CGAGTAAAACTGCTAAGGCAAGCGGCCTGCTTCGACTAACTCCTTCCTCTCTCTCGCTTGGCAAAAAGCCACAACTTAAGTACTTGGCGTTCGCCAGACAAATTTTGCATAAATAAGTTAAAGCTTTTAATTCTGGCCGGAAGTAGAAAATAAGAAGTGATAGTAAAGATTTAAAATAAAAATAAACGTTAGTAAAACTTAAGATCCTTACATACTTCCCGCCAGAGTTAATTAGTTTGAAACTGAGGTCTAAAACGACCTTGTTGAAAACTTTTAGCTCTAGAATCTAACCCTAGGCCAATCTTTTACAAACATCTCTCACTAGAAACTAGAAATTAAAAAAAAATTTGTTTTTACAATATCAGCTCCATGGACACCCAATTTTTCATCTGTACTGCATCTAAACAGGAGCTTTTATTCAAATCTGGTTACTTCCAGAGATCTGGAAGGAAAACTAGTTTAATGAAATGTTACACAATGAAATGGCAAGTAACATGAATATTTATATTTCTCTTAACATTCTTATTTAATTCATGACTTTATTTTAATTATCTCTCCCGTGCTCTCTGACATGTGTTGTAAAAGAAAACACCAAAGACGAATGTGTTTATGTATACGTGTTCAACACTGCCGCCTACAATCAAAACACTAACGTGTTAAAATTCAACATAACAAGACCTCGTAACACACCCTATCTTCAACTCTAAACCCTGAGGTACTATTCTGAAAGTGGCTAACTCTGAAGTGTAGCGTCAGAGAGCCTAACTACATTCATTCAACCTTTAACACATATTCACCATAATTTGGTCTTTTTACAGTCACACGAATAAGTTTAAAATTTTTGGCATTACTTTCACTTTTACCATATCACAGTATTTCTTAACATTTAAAATAACAGTTCACATTGTATATAAGAACATATTAACATGCCGTTAATTTTACGCATTTTAAAACATACATTAGTAGTACATTGTTAACTTCTATTCTTTTCCAAGCAAGTGCCAATTCTTCTACATTGAAACACTACATTTCAAAAGTCTTTCAGACTAAAACTTCTTTCTTGCCAGAATGTTTTAAATAAAATTTATACAATAACTTTTACAATATTCAAGTATTTACACATTCCTATTATACATCAACTTTAGTTTTACTCGCGAGTAATTGAAAAACATAATACCAAAATAGGTAACAACTCATTTCTCGCGTTTTTGGCGATAAAGGTAGACCTCACATGAGGTAAAACTTCTTGAAATCTGCCACTTGCAGTAAGAATGAAAGATTAACTTAAGTTTGTAAAGTAACATAAAATTTTACTTATCTTTGTGATATTCGGACATTCTTTTCTCAGCCCAGTCTTGGAAGGTAGCGAAGATTCTAGTTTGATTTATCCTCCTTCTTGTGCAGGCTCGCCCTTCAGTGCATTCCTCTAGAAGCTTTCTTTTTCCTCCAGTTCGGTCACCGTTGAATACCTTCTTTTTCGCCTCTGCCTGTGGTCTTGGCCGTTTGATGGCAGCTGGCTTGGCGGAACCGGGACACTTCTCTCTCGTTCCTGCTTGGACCTCGTTGCTGGCCGTTCAAATTTTCCTTCTATCTTTTCCTCCGCCGCTGGTGGCCCTTCCGCAGTTCGGCGACATTTGCTGCGGAGAGTCCTGTCCGATGAGTAGATCTTCCGTTTGGGAGCCGGGTTATAGTTGCCGTTATTTCTCCTGGCTCTCTTTGCATTCGTCGTACTTCTCCCTTCTTCATTCTGGGGGTGGTCGTGAGCTCTCTTTTCTGGACGGTGATGAACGGCTTCTTTTTCTTGTTACCTTCAATTTTCCAGCGGGGAAACTTTCTTTTCAATTGCTCCTGCCTCCTAATGGCTTGCCCTTGTACTTGTTGTTGTTCCACCTCTGGAGCTTGTGCCTGCCGTGCCGGATCCTGCAAAAGATCTTTGAAATATTTGCATTTTATTACGATCATATAGAATGGGTTTTAATCTGGTCAATGTTTGCGGTTCAGCATGTTTCACCATTCCTGGCTTTTAACACCACTAGAGCCTGTGAGTTACTTTTTCTATGACATATGGTCCTTCAAATCGTGGATAGAACTTTGGCGGTTTTATCTCCTGGTGCTGAAGAAAGTGAATGCTTAGTTTTTAACACTTCATCTCTCTACTTTATAAGTTACTTTCCATCGTTTCATGTCGTAATACAGTTTTTGTTTTCTCTTGTGCTATTTCAGTATTCTTTTTTCTCTTCTAATTATTAATTTCTATATCACCCATTTTAAATTCTGGGGCTCTTGTTGCACAAAAATAATTTATCTAACGGCGTTATAATCTTTCTGCCTAAAAATAACTCAGCAGGAGTTTTGCCCGTTTGTATCATGTTTTGCGGTCCTAAGGGCGAAAGCAAATTCATTGACATAGTTATTCCAGCTTTTATGAAAAATTTTAACATAACTACGGATAATTTTCACTATATTTCTATTGACCCGTTCCGCTATATTTTATTGCGGCCGATACGGGACCATTTTTAAATGACGTATGCCCAGTTTTTGGCACATGTCTTCAAATATATTACTTACAAATTGAGGACCATTATACGATATAACTTTTTAGGGGCACCCCGTATTTTAAAATATATTTATTTAAAATAGAATCAGTAACTAATTTCGCGGAGGCTCGTTTAAGGGAACAATTTCGGTCCACTTACTAAAATGATCAAGGACGCCGGAGCATGCAACGAGGAAGCACGCCATCACGCCGAGCTCTTGGTTTTTGCCCAATTTTCAGTGGAAGTTTTTGAGTGCAACGTGTGTATTATATATCAAAATGTGCGTGAATATCTCCTGCATCCTTGGATACATCGTTTAAGTGTGTGTGAGTGATATTTCTCCAGATTTTTGTGTTTTAGTGCTTCTAACAAAAGAAAATAGGCAGTCGCAATTTACCGTGTTTTTGTTCACCATTTCTGCCGCTACAGCAACGGAAGTGTCCCGCCTAGCTACCACGTGGTTCCCCTGGTAGGCCTAGGAAATCGGCCAAATATTCCATGTCCAGAAATTAATTTTTAATTAAAATATATGTATATATCTTCGGATACATTGCAACCAGGAATTTCAAGAACTGGTATGTTTATTTTTTTTCAAAATGTTTAACATTTTTACAGGATTTGCATAGTGTTTTTAATTCCATCGTTTTCATCTTCAGTTTCGACATTTATAGCTCTCGTCGTCGAATAACTTTTCGATAACTTTGAACACTATTCGACAAACTCTAAAAATTTAGTTTTAAAGCTCTAGTTGCGTGCTTTTGATGTGTTTTACATGAGAAAACTGATCTTTATGCACTCTGTATTTTACCTTTAATTACTTGAAATGTTTATTTAATCTTTTAATTACTGTATTAATTGCTGTATTTTAATTACTTGTATTTTTATGTTTCTACTCGCACTTAAAAATCAGTCAGTTTGATTGTATTTAGAGAATTTTTAGTCATAGTTCATCTGTTAATTATGTTTAGTATCTTACTTATTCTACTATTTGCTTTAATTACTGTAATTTCTTGTTACTGGGTGTGAAAGGGACCTATTGCTACCAAATTTTATCATTTATTGGTTGTTATACAGCAATAAGCAATAGCTATTTTACGTTAAGTATTTGATAAAGAGTTACACTACGAGTGTGATAATTTGCAACTCTGAAAAAGTTCTTGGACAGCATGTCCTGTCAATCAGTGATTCCAACTGACGGTGATTCCGCTCATTCACAAAGTGACGTAGACGCCACTAATTTATTGACCTCTGATTTGCCTTACGCAGAGAAAGTAGCTATTTTGTGTGAGGATATTAGACTGGTAGCGGCCACCACCAGAAGTACTAAATATCTTTTACCTACAGTTCTTCGCACCAGACTATTAGACTCCCTGGTTGCGTTGCAGACGCTGGCCTTACAAGGTGCAGAATTAGCAGCCAAGCCAACAAAGATAGACACAGGTGTTAATACATCAACAGTGCTTTGCTGTGAATTGGCTCGCTCTCAGCCTCTACCGATAGCACAACAACCACCTGATTTACAGGCACCTCCACCTTTGCCAACAGCTTCTCGACCAACTTTTGCAGAGATTATAAAGAAACATAAGAATCCAAGTCTATACATACGTCCCAAAGCGGACGTCACAGAGACTGAGCTAAAGGCGCAGCTAAACGCTAAAGTACCACTTTCCAAGCTACAGGCAGGTATAGAAAGAATTTCTAAGCTCAACAAAGGAGGTTTCGAGGTTGTCTGTAAATCCACTGAAGATGTCGAAATCCTCGAACAACAGCTTCAACAACAAGATATCCCAGCGGAAGTCACCCGTCCATGGAAACGTAAGCCAAGATGCACCGTCCATGACTTGCCGGTATCCACACAATCAGAAGAAGTACTCGCAGAACTCAGCGGCGTCACTGGAATGCCTAGCACCACCTTTAAACCCCTATTCCGATTACAAGAACGTCGTAAAGGCAAAATCAAGTGGGTTTTTGAGTGTGAGCCGACAGGCTTTGCAGCCATCATGCAGCACAGAAAAATCTTCCTCGGCTGGCAGGCTCATAGAGTCTCAGAGCATATTGGCCTCCAGCGATGTTTTTTAGATGCCAGCAATATGGGCATAAGCAAGCTGACTGCAGAAGTAGAAAACAATATTGCTCCTACTGTGCAGAAGAACATGGGAACCGTGATTGCACAGCCCAACAACCACAGTGTATCAACTGTGGTGAGGCCAACTCCCGCTATGGCACCAAATACAGCTACTTCCATCCAGCCTATGCTCCAGAATGCCCACAATACCAGCGCAAGGTACAGTCAATCCGAGATAATACAGAATACTGCTAATCTTGATTTATCAAACGTCATAAATAAAGATACAAATATGCAGTACATTATCTATCAAATGTATACAAATAAATTTACAGCGAGCAAAAGCAGCAGTTGCTCAACTAGCACAATTTGCAGCAGAATTTGGTGCTGACCTGATAATGGCTCAGGAACCTTACACGCGAGACGGAATTGCAGTGGGATTTCCATTGCAATGGACAATTTATCAACAAGGAAATGTAGAATATCCTCCTAGGGCCATTATTATTAACTGCAACAAAAAATGGTCTCCGGCTATCGTAGCAATTGAACGCGATAATGTTGCAATCATTATAGAAGCACAAGAAGCATCTTTACTGTTTATCTCACAATACTCTCCTCCTTCTGCAGATATTTTGGCTACTACACAGTTTCTTACAGATACCCTGCAAAAGATTAAAATTCCTCTTAAAATAATTACAGGCGATTATAATGCCCACAACACGGTTTGGGGGTATGCTTCTACGAATGACAAAGGAAGCCTTCTGGAGGATTTTCTGTCTGCTAATCATCTTGTTTTACATAACACAGCAGACGCTCCTCCGACATATGACAGAATCTACGCACAAGGCTGGCCTGATTTGACGGTCAGCTCAGCCTCAGCTGCGCCATTAATACAAAACTGGAGGGTTAATGATGAAATTAGCTTAAGCGACCATCGTTACATTACTTTCTCAATAGAGCAACCGACGACAATTAATATTATTCGTCGTTACAACCTACCTGGTAGGCGTAAACGTGCTTTTACTACTAGAGTCAAGAATTTGTTTGAAGGTATTGAACAACAGCTAACTCAAGCGAACTCTAGAGACGAATTGGAGAATTTCACAGTGACTCTACAAAAGTGTATACAGCAAGCGTGTGATGACATATTGCCACAGCGTAGTACTAAAAAACTGACTACGATCAATTGGTGGAGTAGTGAACTTCGTATTCAGCAGAGGCAATGTCGCGCATTACGTCGAAGGTTAAAGACTGAGCGTAGACTAAACCTTCCAGCTAAGACCCTCCCAATTTATCAACAGGCAAGAGCGAAGTACAAAACGTTCAATTTTGCAGGCTAAAATCAATTCATGGCATGCTTTTTGTACAGAGTCACAAAACATCTATGGTATTCATCATAAGATTATGACTGGAAAGCTGTTTAGGCCTGCCCAGTTACACATCCCTACACGAATAAATGTTACTCAGGACTACACAAGGGAAACATTAATACAGATCCTGGATTCCGTCTTCAGTCAGGATGACCCAACCGAAGATTCTAAGCAACAAGCAAAGCAACTATACGTACAGAACAGATGTCTACCAACGTGCCACCGGATAGGGATATTACATTGAAAGAACTAAAACATATATTAGCGCATTTGCCAAAGAAAAAAAAGGCCCCTGGCCCTGATGGCATTGATTATGCAATCGTTAAAACAGTCGTTTTGGCCAAGCCAACAATCTTTGTTAGCTTTTTCAATAAATTGCTAGCTACGGGTACATTCCCGAAATCGTTTAAAATCGGACAAGTGGTGTTGTTTTTGAAAAAAGATCGCAATCCAGCGGAACCCACATCTTTCCGACCAATCTGTTTACTTCCGGCTCTTGGTAAACTGTTTGAAAAACTCCTTATGACCAGACTACGCTATTATCTACACGTTAATAATATCCTCAGTCCCAGGCAATATGGATTTAGGCCAGGAACTTCCACTTTACACGCTTTGCATGATATCAAAGAGGCTATCATGGACAACAAATATCACGGTCTCCATACAGCACTCATCAGCTTAGACCTGAAGAGTGCATTTGACAACTTATGGTGGCCAGCGATCTTGCAGGCTCTAAGAAGTTCTGGCTGCCCAAGCAATATCTTTAATACTATAAATCATTATCTACAGGATCGAAGAATAATGATTATACATTCAGCGGGAATTATTGAAAAGTCACAGACGAGAGGATGCCCGCAGGGTTCCTGCGCAGGTCCTCAACTCTGGAATTTAACCTTCAATAAGCTACTCAATGCTTCCTGGCCTGCGCATACGAACATTTTTGCCTATGCCGATGACGCGGCCTTGGTTGTCAAGGGACATTCTCGTGAAGAATTGCAAAAGAACTGCAATGAGGCCTGTCAAATTTTCCAGCGAAATTGTGACGAACTGAAATTAGTCATAGCAGAAAATAAGTGTCAAATTTTACTGGTGCCTAAGAAGGGAGGCTCTTTGGCAAGGAGACCGCGTATTGTACTCAATGGTCAGAGGCTCAAAATTGTAAAAGAATTAAAATATCTTGGTGTTACCTTTGATGAAAAACTTACGTGGATTCCTCATGTTCTCTCTATTAAAAAGCGTACCCTGGCCATCGCCAAACAACTAAGACAATTTTATGGATACAAGTGGGGTTTGAACCACCACATTCAAAAGATCTTATACACAACGGTTGTAGAAAAGTTAGTAACTTATGCAGCAGCAATTTGGGCTCTCCCTATGCAGAGGAGAAAAATCAAGCATCTCTCTACTATTCAGCGCCCTTTTGCCTTAGGAATAACTCGGGCATATATTACTACTTCCACTGATGCAATAAATGTCTTGGCTGGTTTGCTCCCACTGCATATTAGAACTGAGGAGGAAGCAGCACGACAAATGTTAATACAGCTACACAAGCCAATAGCATTTGCTGAAGAAAATTTTACTTCGGAGGAATATGAAACCAAACTAACATCTGACAGCATTCACCCTGCGGATTATGGTGTTGGCATTAGACTACATGTCCCGCCTACAGAATACCGTAGCCCCTCGAGTATAGTAATTTATACGGATGGATCTAAAATTGAAGGAAATGTGGGGAGCGCATTTGCTGTCTTACAAAAAAATAGTGTCATTGCACAATGGAAGGGCCATTTGGCTAACAATAACAGTGTCTTTCAAGGGGAAGCAGTAGCAATAGCGCAAGCTATTCGCTACTTGCTAACCCACCAAATCCTAAAGGCTACTATAAAGTCTGATAGCCTTTCAGCTATTTATGCGATTAGTAATCCAGAACACCCATCCAAAATCATTAGAGATATTCAACAAGACCTTAGAAAACATCAACGCCATGACATCCACTTAGCTTGGATAAAGGCACATATGGGTGAATATGGAAACGAAGTTGCAGATACTCTCGCCAAGGAGGCCGCTTTTGGAATTGCTGCTGAACAAATTCACATACCTTGGCCGCATTCACATTTGAAATCTGCATTACGTCTCAAAGCAATCAGTAAGTGGCAAGAAGAATGGGATTATAGTACCACTGGTCGTCGTACTTATTACCATATTTCTTACGTTACACAAGATAGATGCTGTGGAAATCCCCATCTGACACGTTATATTTCAGGGCATGGCCCTTTTCCTCTTTATTTTGAGAGATTTAAAATAAGCGATTCCAGCTTTTGCACCTGCGGAGAGTTAGGCTCTCCGGAGCATTACCTTGAAAAATGCCCTCTTACAGAAGGCTTTACATATCAGATTCCCTTCGCAAAATCGTCAAGCCTTTTGCAAATTTCTAATCAAGCAGAGGCACTTGATTAATAAAATTAACAAGGTTATGGAAAAGGTTAAAGGTCTTGGAATAGACCTGTGCCAGGTGTAGCATTCATAGGCATAATGCATTGATGATGCAAAGTACATAATCTTCGTGGTAAACTCTGGTTTAATGCTACATTTATAAATTTTAGTGATATTCTTATAACGGACTGATCTAATGAAATGATCATTGTACTGTATCTTATGCACCCCCTATGAAAAACAATATGTTTACTTTGCTTATTAGTTACCACAGTCTTAACGTACCCTTTCAAATAGTCACTCAGTACAAATTCTATCAAATTTTGTGTCTCTGAAATGTAAAAGTAAAATATTTCATAAGAAATTACTGTACCAGTGTAGTGTATTGTAGCAAATATGAGGGTACACCATTATTGGTTTTTGTTGTTCCAGAATGCTTACATTTGTATGAATGATACTTATGGCTGAATTTGTGAAGCACATTAAGTATGTACTTTTCAATGATCCTCACGACTTGATCCTGTATTTGTATGATCCTATATTCCACATTCTGCTCCTAATGTGTATGTGTATTATTTTGTATGGCATATTCTATGTATATATATATATATATATATACAGCGCATATTTATTACTTATTTTATTATTTATTATTTATTTTATTTTTTATTTATTTTTATTTATTTTTATTTTATTTTTTTTTTTTTGAATGTTTTTATGTATGAATAATATAATAATATTTAATCATATAATTAATTGATACTTAGTATTTTGCATTTTAACCTTTTGCATTTTAACTGTACACGCACCAGCATTATGTTTTAATAATCCTGTTTGATTATATACTGTATCATGCATATGTAGGATATTGTATTTTTTTTTTTTTTTTAATTTTCTTTCTTTATTTTTTTATTTTATTTTTTTTAAGGTTTTTATGCATGAATAATATAATATTATTTAGTCATATAACTTAAATCGATACTTAGTATTTTACATCTTAACTTTTGCATTTTAACTGTATACGCACCAGCATTATGCTTTAATAATCCTGTTTGATTATATACTGTATCATGCATATGTAGGAAATTGTATGGTTTATTTATATTGTACGATATCGTAAGTACTGTAAAGTATGACCTGTAGTCCCACTAGTCTCTAGATAAGGGTGGACGTGGTGCTATTACCAATTAACCATAACGGTAAAGGGATGGTGCCCACGTCCTCCGTCACTAAACTAAACTAAACTAAAGAACCAGGATGGAAAACTAGGGAAGGCAATAAGAGCAATCATGGAAATCGGTTAAACTATTAGAACCGCGGCGAAAATTTTCTTATGGAAAACGCTTTACTTTTTCAGAATAATTTCGGTCGCGTTGGATAGTTTTTCGAGTACCAGCATGAGAAGCTAAAGGGCTGTCATGCAACTCCTGCAGGATATTTAATCTAAGACTAGCTGGGATAACAGGTCGAAATCCGTTGTTGGAATTTGTAGTTTTTGTATAAATAATAGACCATCTATTAGTTCGTAATGGGCCGCCCTATTTCTTATCGCCACAATATCTTGGTAGCTAAAATTTTCAGGATCCTTTTAAATAATAATATATATGCTTTTAAATTCCGGATCCTTACACAGTTCGGTTATTAAAGTTTCCTGGGAATGTATCGTATATGCTGTGAGCATCGCCACTTTAACAGTATTCCCTTCTTCATCTGTTTTTATTCTTGGATAGGGCATCTGCTACGACATTTTCCTTTCCGGGCGTGTATTTAATTATCAAATTATATTCCCGTAATTTAAGTGCCCATCTTATTAACCTTGGGGATAAATTCTTCCCTGAATATAATCTAGTTACCGCTGCATGATCAGAATACACTGTTATTGGCGCACTTTCCAAAATAGACTCGGAACTTCTGCACTGCTACAGAACTGCAAGTGCCTCTCTCTCGGTCGCGGATAATTTCTTGGTTTGATTTAAAGTTCGACTAAAAATGCCACGGGCTGCTGATTTGCGAAAGTACGCTCCTACCGCATAATACGAGCATCCGCTGAAATTTCTAATTCTCATCCTTTTCAGGAAATTTCAACACAGGGCTTGCGTAATGCTTGTTTAATTTTTCGAAGCACTATTGGCTTCGGCGTCCCGAGAATCTTGCCTTTTTCCCTTTTTAATTTTAACAATGGTTCAGCAATAGCTGCAAAATCTTTTTGCATAAGTAAGTTAAAGCTTTTAATTCTGGCCGGAAGTAGAAAATAAGAAGTGATAGTAAAGATTTAAAATAAAAATAAACGTTAGTAAAACTTAAGATCCTTACAATGTAGACATGGATAACTAATTATGATATAAAGCAGGCACAAAGAAATAGATACAAGAGATATAAACTATGTACACAGAAAATGCTTTGACATTTATGAATAATAAAACATGCTGCATATTGTCATAGAAATATATGGAATGATGTATAATTATGTATATTTTTGACACCTTAGCCTGTCTCTTAGGATGAAAGTAAAGCTAGTCTAAGAGGGGTGGAGTCGC